GCACACACATATGTCATATGCCGTCAGCCAACTGCAAATTTGACTGCAAATTTCCACTCGCGAATAGAGGCAAAGTTGACGATATTGTGTTGCTTTCTCCACCAATTACCATTGAAGCTAAGCCTTCTAGTTTGAATGCCACAGCATTTTAGTCACGCTAATTTGATGAGAATACTTGATTTTGAATAGATATTCACTTGCAGCATGCATCCGCAATGGGCTTTTTCATTAACCGTCACCTCGGTTGAATCGGTATTCCAAATGCAGATTTAGGAGACTGTAGGAACTGCGAATTTTAGACATAGTGTGTAATAAGAATGTAGCTATGAATTTCAATGCAGTAGCCAAATCTCTCCACAAATTCATCGTAGATCGGCTCACTGCCCCCGTCCTCTACTACCACCCGAAGCGGATGCATATTAAGAATAATCCGTAGGAGACTGAAGTGTGCACGGGAGGAACTTGAAGGCTGGCATTCATAATTGGTAAGGCTTAAGTTTCAAGACATGAAGCACGAAAGTTTTGCATTCGATTGAAATGCTGTTGTCTGCATCTTTCCTTTGCCTAGTTTGTCAACAAAAAATATGCCGGGCCATGCAAAAGAAACTAGGTGCAATGGGCCAGCTGATTTGAAAAAAACTCCTCTCCAGTTCTCACAAGATTATACCAACAAATGCACACATAAAGACAAGTAAGTAGGCCCGGCATACCGGAGAGGAACAGCAATAGAAAAAGACGGGCAAAATCTTGGGAACCGGCTAAGACAGAGCTTCAGATAGAATCAGAGACACAACTTTACCTGCAGCATTCTGGACACAAAGGCCACACACACACACACACCACTAATTATTAGCCAGAAATGTGTGTGTATTTATATACATATGCATGCATGGTTGTAGATCTTTACATAGACGGAGACTCCGCATTCTTGTCTCTCTGGCTTCCATTCCTTTCTAGTTTAATGATACCTGACCCTCCTTTACTCATCCTATTTCAAGAGTTGCCAGGTCGAACAGATTTTATTCGGATTCACGGAGGTGAGGAATTGGCCCACCTACTGGGTTGGCAGTTCGTGTCTCGACCGCCTGCAAACAGGGGTCTGGGCATCTCACCCCATCTGGTTGAGGCCAACATGCTTGGCTGGCTCTATGATCGCGCAGGCCCCATCTAATCCGGTCGAAATTCGGACACCTCACAAAGCCACACATTCGTCCGTCTGGTTGGCTGATAAACTCAGTACACATACATGGTCAACCTAGCACCTAGCCCTATCTGTACATCTGATTTGGAGGATTCTTATATTTCATGTCTCTGTGCTTGCCCAAGCCGAGGATACCGGCACGCAGGCGTTGTGGCAAGGTCGCGGGCCATCGGCCTTGGAGGTCTGTTAACAATGGCTCATTTACACACGATAAGACATCAATGTCTTGATGTGATGGTTGCAGTGTTTCATCAGACTGTTTCTGGGCCCGTATTCGCCAGTATGCATTTATCTGCATACAAAACGACATGGACGAGAGGCGGGGTTGTTGTCTAACATCAGCGTCGTTTCGATTTATCTCCACGTCTATTTGTTGTTAGGCCGAGTTGTTATCTTGCATGACGCAATCGCGACCGAGCCACGGGGTATCCTACAATTGGCTAGCCACTCATCATCTGCGTTAACTGTATTTGCCTCCCGAGACTGTCCCATTCTCCGTCTTCTGCTCTTATACCGACCTCTCTTATGTCATCGAGACCGATAAGACTGTATGGTACGCACAGTCATTTCAGGAGAGTCAGGTTTTTATGTAAACAATGCCATTCTAGATGCAACTGTCCTGTGCATACATGCCGAATGGGCACAGCTGATTTGACTGCCTACATCAAATGTAGAATCCCCATTCGGACATGAGTGTGTGTGTGTGCAATTAGAAACGTCAACGCTACTATCACTAATACCTAATTATGGGTTCACATGGAATCTAATTTTAAAGGGCCTATCTTCATTATTTCCCGCTTGGCGGGTAGGTAAGGCATCTTTCTGGATGCTAATTCGAGGCCAAAATAAGGTTAAATCTATAAACCTTTTCGTGCTAAATGAAGAATCAACAATGAGGTAGATTGGCAAGCTTAGTTAAATGTGAAAATTA